TCACTCGGGACATGTTGCTGGAGGGCGCCGAGGAGCTGCGCGGTGAGTGCGGGCCCGCGCTGCTCCCCTCAGCCCTGCCGGCCTGGCCGCTTGGGGCCGGGTCTGCTCCCGCCTCTGTCGCCCCGGGCTTTGGGTTGAGCCTGCCCCGAAGCTTGGATCCGTCCCCGGGGGCGGGAGCAGGCGGCGGGCCGGGCCGGGGCTTCCCGCAGCGGGTGACGTGTTGCACGGGCCAGGGGTGACACGTTGGTTGCGGGGGTCGGGGCTGTGCCTGAGCTCTCCCGGGGAGGCCGCAGTCCGCCCTCGGGAAGGGCCCGACGAGGCGGCTCTGGCTCCGAGGAGCTTGGAGGCCGAGGGGAGTGGGCACTGGCCAGGCAGGAAGCCAACAGGGCAGTCTGTGCGGTGACTGCACTGTTCCCTGTCTCCTCCAGTGCTGCTGTTCACAGGCATTTAAGTCTTTTAAAAATGAAGCTTTTAAGATCTTTCCTGCTGTACCTGCGAAGCGTGATGGAGAATACACATAGGGGAACCTAATTCTACCTCTTGAAATGAGGACTCAGATCAAGAAATACTCTTTAATTACAGCCTTTGTCGTTTTTTACAGGCTGTGGCTGTTTGTTAGGAGGCCAAGGTGCCTTCCTGCCCCAAAGACCTGCTTTATAATCTTAGACTAATCATTGTGTTAGTTTCTCAGCCTGTATTAGCTTAGTTTAGAGTCTTGCGTCACTTGAACTCTGTGTAAGATTTCCTTTCTGGTTTGTATGGGATGGTTTGGATAGCGATGATCCTGCCCCAGGCAGGGGGTTAGACTAGAGATGACCTCCGGAGGTCCCTTCCAGCCCAACTTCTCTGATTTTGGGATCATCTTGGAGCTCTTTTATTTCCTGGAAGTAGCAGCGAGCAATGTGCATAATCTGTTTTTTTTTTTTTCTCAACACATTTTAAGTTTTATATGATTATCATTAGCGATTGCTTAATAATGTTTGTAGAGTTGTAAGCATATATGGTGTTGCTTCTGCCTTTTGTTCTTTTATTGTAGTGTATTTTTAGAAATCAGATGCTTAATCTCAGTAAAATTTCTTTACCCATTTAAAATGAGCTGGTGCTTGTAATTGTCATCAGATTCTAAGCACTAGGAATTAATGGACGTGTCCAAAGTTCGCTTTACTTTGTGACACTGGCCTAAATGGCTCTGGGTGAACATATGTTCTGACAGTAGCTGCTTTCTGTGATGATATATGATGCTTTTGATTGCTCTTTGAAAATAAACGCCTGAAAAGCCAACATGCTAAATTAAAGTGCATCATCAGGATTAGGCAGACAAGATTCCTTGCGTGAATCTGATAGCTTTTATTAGACCAACCCAAATAGTTGGAAAATAATTATTAAGCAAGCTTTCGTGTTCAAAAACCCTTCATTGGGCTAAGGAAGTTTCAGCAGTTGGTGTGTGCTCTTCCTGGATGGAATGAAAAGTAAAGAAGCCAGGGGCTGGGCTGGTATGCATACAAGACAGGTAGTCAGTGAAAATGTAGATTGAGGAGTCAATGGGTGAGAGACAGGCGCCCGGGGGGGGGAGAAGGGGGATGAAAGTGGAGAGATACCTGGGGAGTCAGATATCAGGCACGTTATAATGTGTCATCAGGATTACTGAGGTAATTGTAGCTATTGAGTGGGGAAAAATGTATTGATTGTCAAATCACATTTTTCAGAAATTCCATAAAGAAAAGATGTCAAACTCTCTAATGATTTGTTATATAGGCTTCCCATCTGGAAAAGATAAATAGATTATCATAAATAAGCTTCAAAAACTTTTTTGCAAGATTTCCTGCATCTAAAATGGAAAAGGTATTGTAAATACTTTCCTTCAAATGTGCTTGACCTCACTTGCCTTTGTGAATTACATAGCTATTCCTTTTTATCTTTTCAGGAGTATTTTGGTGAGACTTTCCAAAATTTACATTTGTATCACTTATTAGGCTTGCTAGCTATATTGAAGTGTTATTTCTCTGTCAGTAAAGAGCTGTGGACTGCAAGAAACGTTTTTCAATTAGTTCCTTTCCTGGTATATTGTATCAACTAATTTCCATTCTTATACCTTATATTTGAGTGTCTCCGACTTCCAGTAAAGTTAATATCAGTTTTTATAGGCCTTAAGTTGATTGTCAAAGAAATATAGCCTCTGGAAGTAAAGGTGCATGGATACATCAGTCCATATCATATCAGCATCCATAAAAGGGAAATTGACATAATTGGCAATCAGCTCTTTTTGGCTGATGTGGCTGATATTGTCACCGATAAATGCTGTGTGCATGCATGCAGCTGCAGCAGGCATGTGTCATGACCCAAAGGGTATGATTGTGTGTGTGCTTCAGCACTGCAGAATTATTTCCCGCCACATGGAGCTTTCTTTGCACGGTGCAATTCTCAGTTGCATAGAGAGAACCCCGGTGCGAAGGAGTTCCCGCCACCTGTATGTAAATTTGTTTCCCACTATTGGCTGTTTCTAAATTATTCCCACGTGGCGGCTAGTGATTGGCTTGCTAGCCGTATAAGAGGCTTGAGCGGTTTCCACCCAAGTTGGAGGAGGAGAAGGAGGACTTCACATCTTGTGAAGAACTCTAAGCACGCTGTGGAGCTTAACGAACCCAGCGTGTGCCTTAAGAAGGATATAGGGGCCTGATCAACCTCTGGCCTCTCCCCGTCACCGCCTGATCCCTCGACATACCCTTCCCTGCGCGCTCATGGAGAGTCACCTTTCGGACTCTCATCGTGGTATTCAGAGCTCTTCTCGGGTTATTTCGTCCTGTTGATTCGACGGGCTCGCGGTTCTAGACCTCTCAGCCGGCCCTGGACCAGAGTTCGCGGTTAGAACTCTTGTCCACTCTTCTTCTTTTCTATCTAACTGCAACGCAAGCAAGTTTTCCTGCCTGCACCGCGACCATCTACGGTGTAAGTAAAATAATCTTTAATCAACTGCTACGCGTCCATGCCTGATTTGTCCACCGTGCCAAATTCCCCGACCCACTTGCCAGGGCTACTGGCCACAGCCCGCCGCGCGCCCCCGAAAGCCTCGGACCGCTCCCGGCCCGCACAGCATGCAGCCACGGCATGCACACAGTCAGGAGCTTGGAGAGGAACATCTGGCTGGTAAGCCTGTATGAGGGAAGGGGCATGGGGGAGGGAAGGAGTGTGGAAGGGGGCAGATGGAGGCCTCTGCGGTGAGGGAGGGCTGGGGCAGGTGCTGCCCAGCTGAGCTAGGGTGCGGGACAGAACCAGGGTTATGGGGGTGGCTCCTGCCACTGTGCACACCCTGGGGAAGGCATGGGGGTGTGTGCCCCCTGGGATCTGTACACAGGTGAAAGGTGGACTGCTGCTGTGTGCTCACATGCGGGGGCTGTGCTGGGCTCTTTCCAGGGGCTGCACTCAGGCCAGGTAGGTGGCAGCAGCACTGGTAGGGGGGCTACTAGGGGGGCTACAGCCCCCCCCCCCCC